TGTGATAACAAAGTACGTAGTTCAATGAATGGTCTCTTTTAACCGGCGAATTCATTCACTTGACTGCACAGTCGCAATTATACATATTCCTGTTTTGTTATATGTTTGTACATTAGGTTTTTCCTTTAAGAGCAAAATTACTGTTATTATTATATCCTTTAATTCCTAGAGGAAAATAGGCTTCAGCTGCGCATCTCCATTGCGTTTGGTTCTCTGCTGGAGTTTTCACCTGTCTCCAAGTCTGCCTACATGTTTTCATCTCCTCCCCACATGACCTCCTTCAAGTCACACTTGCATTGGCGACCAACTCGCTGCTTCCTTTTCAAGTTCCACTCAAGGACTTGTCTAGTGATGTCACTTGATGTTTCCTCAGAGTATGGCCAGCCAATCCATCTCCATTTCTTCTTGAATATTTGTTGTATAATCGGTTCCTGGTTGGTTCGCTCCAAGAGATCCCTGTTGATGATCTTTTCCGACCGGCCATCTGATCGTGAGTAGTATTGAGCGAAGACAGCTGTTAATGAAGGTCTGTAGTTTGTTTGAGATGCTCTTTATGATGGGCAGTGCAAGTCTCTGATCCGTGTAGAGTAGCAGTGACTTCACATTGGAGTTCAAAATCCGGATCTTATTTTTGATGCTGAGCTGGGCTGTTGACCTCACACAGACTTGAGAGTAATGAAGGCTTGTCTTGCTTTTCCGATTCTGGCTTTGTATTCCTCGTCAGTTCCGCCTGTAGTTGAAACGATGCTATGTTATGTTTATTGTTTTCAAGACATTTCAAGAATGTGATGAGCAGTCAGACTGTAACTGTGATAGTGGGAGATTGACGATTGGTAAGACGGTAGTGGTTATTTGTGATCAAATAACTGATATATGCATATATCAGTTCACCTGTCGCTGTGGGGCCAGGTACATTGGTCGTTAGACGCGTATCGTTTCCAAAACGTTTCATGGTAAATACCCATTGGGAAATTAGAAAGAAGAGAACACGAAGTTCATCAAAGATATCTTTTCACTATCATTGTGTATATAGAGGTTCACCTGCTAGGTACAAAGAATGTTTTATGCGTATCCTTTCAAAACATCTCAGAGAACGTTACCCATTATGGCTGCAAAGAGGAGGCACCGATTTTATCAGAAGTGCCATAATTGAACATATGATCAACACCTCCCACAGCCTCTTAAATGATTCATTCAATGTCATTTACAAAGTAAACGGAAACCTACCAAAGGCAGTATGTTTCCGACTTCTCTGTACTACAGACGCTCTCGCAATATGCATCGAAAAGACTGGGATATCTATTTGAAAGGAACTAGTCTAACTTTTATAACTATCATGTACCTAGTTCGGTATGTTTCCTTGGCCTTCAGTACTTTTTTGTTCGCTGCGTATGTGTAGATTTTTTCTCTTTGTGCTGATTCAATTCGTCTCATTTTTCCACTTATAAAACTTGTTATTCTAAGTTTGTTTCCATTCTTTTCTTACTCACATGTGTAATTTTTTTTAAAGTAACTATTTAACAATTATATTCTATTCCTGCGTATCTTTTTATTTCTAAGCCTCTTGTAATCCATATCCAGTTTAAAATAATAACAATGACCTCAAGGCGGTTACAATTGCCTAACGCCACAACTCTAGCATTTTACGAGCGAACTTATTTCATTGAAAGGACTGGTATAGAGAAAGTATTCCAGCATTGTTCAGATGTGAAGTTGACTGGAAGTGGAACTTGGTCCTGTAAAGTTATTCTGAAAACTATGAGCTTCAGCAGAGTTGCTGATGGGCATGCTTTCTGTTGTGAAGTTTGCTGAATTCTTTTGAGAGTTACAGAAGTCAAACCGACGAATATATTATCTCGTAAAGGCCTTCCTCAATGAGTCACACATTTTCATATATATATATATATATATATATATATATATATATGCAATGACTTGGTATTATAATAATAATAATTTATGTTTCGTTTAAAGGAGTAAGTCTACGAGACGGGGCTAAAATGCTCAAACGCCAAATAGTTTCATCTCAACTGTTTAATGCTGCCGGGACTGCAAAGATATCACATAGTGGATGATTGATAGGGTGACTTCCTTATATTGGAAGTGTCGCTTAACGTTCAGACAAACAGTGGTGATAAGCAGCAAATACAGCCGAGGACGCGATGGAGCCAACGAATTTAAGGTGCTTGATTGCAAAATGCCACCTAAGCAAATTATACCTAGAATGAATACTTGGCAGGAAGTTTGCATCTTCAATACACGCTATTATTGGACTCTTGAAACAGTTGGGTATGAAAAAGATTTGCCAAATCAATTGAAGCCCATTCATTTCGCCCTCATCAATCAATTTATTTATCACTGCTGACTCAGTCACACTGCACACAATCGGATTTTCAAAAAAAAATGAGCGGCTGCTACATTGTGGTATATTTGCGTACCCTGCATCACCTTTATTACTGAAAAATTGCATCCCTTAACTTCCACAAATGTTATTTTTCCCCCTTCACTTGTTGGGGACTTTTAAGAGCAACCTGGTCACTAAGTTAGGTAGGTCATGTGGTATTAAATAATTGTATCTATGTAAATTAATGTATTTAAATGAGACTGTACAGCTGTTTTTGAAAATTTAATCTCCAAAAAGACATACATCTTTGCTGAATTTCGTGTTCTCTTCTTTCAAAAAGTTTCAAGAACACTATCCTCAATGCCTACAGAAAGATAATAGTGCCTGTATAGAGAGTGCGGTAATCGAACATCTCGTCAGTCAACACTGGTCATTCCATTTCAACAAACGAATCCATCAAAGTGACCTACATAGTCCAGAATAACATACCAAAGTCAATACGCTTTCGTCTTCCTTGTTTTGCAAGAGCTTCAGCCGTTCAGTTGGGGGAAAAACCAGATTTATGCATACAAAATGGAATCATCCAACCACTTGATGTTGGCGTGCTTGTTGTTTTTGATTTCTAACTTTTAAAACTCTAACGTAATTTCATTTTTTCCCTAGTCTCTATGTGCATCCTAATCAAAATTACTGCATATTATTACGTAACTGCACTGGGCTTATTCATCTTCTTGAGAGTGTTATTAACTATGTTTTCTGACAGCTTATTACTACTACCCTCTTACCAATCAGCACACCCCGCGCCATCACTACTTACGCTTTCATTACTCATCACATTTTTCAATTGTCTTGACAACAATAACCCTAAATTATATTTATTCTAATCGGACAAACCTGATGTACACATAAATACAGAAATAAGTATATATAATTGAGATTGCATAGCGAAGTGAGTGAATTTGCCGGCGACAAGAGACACTTTAGTGAACTACGTGTTTTGTTCTCATTAATGTCTGAATGAGGATTATTCGTGGATTCGTATTTGTCGCTGATTAACATTTAGAAATATACAAAAGAATGCAAAGGATATAAAAGGGAATTGTAACTGTGCTTTATTTTTACAGTATTAGATGGTTGGAGGCAATCGGCAGGAGGCCTTTGACCAAGGTTTCGTGCTAGTTGGCACTCGTCAGCAAGGCGTATCTGCAACCATGTAGGAACTCATGTCCCTTCTGAGATTTGAACCCGCGACACCCAGTGCTGAAGTCAGAGACGCCTTGCTGACGAGTGCCAACTAGCACGAAACCTAGGTCCAAGGCGTCCTGCCGATCGCCTTCAACCATCTAATACCATCAAATCAATGTGCACCATGATGGCGAGCAGGCTAGAATAATGGTCAGATTACAACCTGACTGATAGAATTCAGTCTACTCCAATCAGAGGACTAGATGCATCACACTAGTTACTAGTGTCAAATCAATAGATTTTACAGTGTTGAAACATAAAGTAATACAAAATAAACAAATAGGCCTATTAGTTTTTGTTTTCCTTTCTTCGTTACTATCACACTGTTGTTCTCATCTTCTATCACACATCAACTTTATATTTCATATCCTATGGTGCATTGTTTGAAATGTAAAAATCTACGCTGATTTTTACTTTTATATATTTTATTTTATTTATTATTTATTTTATTTTTATTTATTTATTTTTATTTTAAAAATCTTATATAATTTATGAGGTAATTAGATGCAATATACTGTGATGCACGCTGAAAATTCCATACCTGTACCACAAATACCGTTTGAAATAAAGCTGTTACTATTATTATTATTAAACGATTCACACGAATTAAGGTGAAAAGCATTATTAGTGATTTTAGTGGCCGATGATTTACTCATCATCGCCCTCTTAATTTGACCTGATATTTCTCTAAATTTATTAATTAATATCATTTATTTCTTGTGTTCTAAGTGGAACATAAAGCCTCAGTAGGAGATCTCCACATCATGTTGTTGTCTGCTGAAACCTTCGTCTGTCTGCACGACTACCTAAAGGCTTGCATTTCCTCTTCATATTTCTTCTTTGTCATCCTCAGTCCTACGCCTAACTTGTTGGTTCTTATTTGCAGTCCGCTTCAGTTCCAAAGGATCAGTATATCACTCTACGACAAATCTATCTGCATATAATTGCATGTATTTATTGACTGATAGCTTTCTTGTTTATTTCTTACCAGACCGTTGAAGCTTCTTCTTTCAAGTCATCTAGTATTCAATCCAGTCAAAAGGCCGAAATCCTGTAATCCTGAAATCCTGTAACTGTCTGCTGGAGGTGCTTGCTTGCCATGATGTACCTAGTCTCCGAACCATAGAGAAACACACACATGACATAAGTATTACAGATCAGATTCTTGTACCTTAAGTTCCTCACCGATTTCAGAGTATCGAATGTCCGTCCTGCTTTTAAATTCTTCATCCGTGATCGAAATTTACATGGATATAAAAACATGAATTTTGGATACTTCGTTGGAGTTGAATTCCGTAAATCATATGCCGGTACAGAATGATGCTGCTTACTGATCTCACCTTTCAAGCACAGTCATACAATAATTGGTAATGTTGAATGAAAAGAATGTTAGACACAGTGTAAAACTTACATTTGGTGCAGCCAAATCATCCAGTTGTATATTGTCTGTATACGTATCACTGACTAAAAATGATCCATTCTCTAATTGTAGAGATAATGACGAATGCGTCGGATTTAAATGACTACCTGAAGAGGAGATGAGAAAATAAGAAAATAAAAGTTTTAAGATTAATTAGATGAACTACTGACAGCAATGATAATTTAAGTAGTTTATTATTAGTTATATATCTGTACAAATATTATTACGTGTTATGATTCCTAGTGGTGCAGACTGTTCTATAAATGATATTTACACTGTGGTTGACAAGTTTTGAGACTTTCCATCCTGACACAGCTATAAAGCTCCCGGTAGATGTTTGGAGGCAATTCCAACGCTTAACTAAGACCTGTGAAAAAGTGATTTCATCTGGACTGAATAATTAATTCTGACTACCAAGAAAATGTTAACAGAACGCACAGAATTATAGAGGTCACTCGAAGTCTTTGAAAACTTAGGTATACTGTAGGTTAAAATGCATTAACCTCCGGTCAAGGAATCTTGCAGAATACTTGATAGCTACTGGCGTGGACTAGATTCGATTCCTGGCTGGCGCAATACGAATGATCTAGATTCGCCTGTATTAAGTCTCTACTTGAGTTATGGTTGAACTTGAGACTAGCAACAACACTTCGCGAAACAGTTGCTGCTACTTCAAACTTAAATTTTGTGTCCCTACGTTCCAGTCGGAACTCAAAAGATGAAAAATGAGTCTTGAGTTTGGGTCTTGATTTGACTACCTTAGCTTGGCAAGCTTTCATATATTAAGTGTAACTTACAGCACGATACTTTAGGCGTTCAACTATTTCAATATAATTGTTGTATTCCTGTGATAGCGAAGCAGCCAAATTCAATTTTTCAGCAAATATCATAAAGAAATGGAAGTGGACTAGACGCAATGCGATCAAATAGAACTCGAATGGGAAGCAAAAAGCATCCAAGTATAACGTGATGTAGATCACGTAAGCAGGAATTGTAAGCACCGTGGAGTCAGTTGGATATGAATATAAGTTTGCTGCTGAGACTGTATTTTCAAGTCTCAACACAAGGAATGAGTATTAATTACCATTACCATTGTTAGTTGTCTTCTCAGGTTGACATGGAGGATATCATGTGGTGAAGAGGAGGTGAGAGATTATAGGCAATCCTCGTCCCAGCTGAAGATGACAGCAGCGAATAGAACAAAAAGGAGATGTGTTGTTGAAGCACTATGTTTTAATGGGAACCCATGGGAGTAACAATAATGTTACCGATTAATTTCAGTGCGGGGTTCAGTCAAGGAATCACTGAAACCAAGGTGTATTCTACACCTATCAAAGTAGGCCCTACCCTGGTAAGATAAATTGGTGAATTCCTTTCAAGTGGCTCAAGGTAGGCTTCGTCAGCTGACATTCCTAGGTTCAATCTGTTATAATTAAGCACTACCGAAGAGTCATAAATCTACACTGAAACTAATACTAAAAGATTCATGTGACTATATATTGAGAAGAATAGTTTCTTAAATTATTTCCTTTCGACAGCATCGCAATGAATGAGTCTACGTTGTCTGTTGCATAAAATCAAGATTCAGAAGGGCGCTCCAGGCAATATCAACTTGCAATTGCAAATTACGCCCTTGATGGTGAAAAATCTTATAAATTTTTTATAAATTGTGGAGAATAACATGATGAAGAAGTTAATTGGTGGATTGTGACTAGCAGTGGAATCGAGGATGCGCATTTCATACTTTTTGGGACTCGCCCACCAACTGGATGAACTTGCACTCCCCAGTGAGTGATGATGTTCCCAACGAGGCTCGAAACTAGTGCCCAAGAGATGGTTCTCGTGGCCCAAGTGGTCTAGTGGATAATGCTTTGGCGTTTGAAACCAAGCCTTTCAGTCCAATCAATCGACATGAAAATCTAAAATTCAATTAAAATTATGAAGGAGTGTTCAGCGTGATTGAGGTCAACCTTCATAAGTCAGAGTTATCACAGTCTAGGAATATCGATAACTTTTTAAAGTAGTATGTTATTGTATCGTTCATGGAAATGAGCGCATCAGAACAATATCTCTAGTGGTAAGCCATATCCTAATGAATAACCTTCAGTCCCTAGATTTTCCAATACTTCAAGTACAGTTACGCATCCCTCTTTTTTCTGCAAGTTGTAGCATTGCTATTAAAACCAGTTGTTTCATACTTCATATTCATTGCAAAACATTCATCAAGAAGTAGTCGATATTTGTCATCAAAGTCACTTAGTTGGTCAAAGACGCTATCAGACAAATGAAGATTTCAAGTTTGATCACGTGGTGACATCACTTAAAGAATCACTAGAAAACTAACTGGGGTACTGAACAGCTGTTTCGTCCTAGTTTGGGTCTCTTCATAAGAAGGCATCCACCGGATCTGGAACTCAGGAACATCAGGCTACAATATGAGCCACTTGAGCGCTTTCTCATTAAAATCCAACTTCTGCTAATTAACTCAACTAATTATAGTTGTCCGTACTCTATGCTGTGTTTCCACTGTTTCTCCGGCTGATATCAACTCATGTAACCAATCAAATCCCTGCAACGCGACACTCCATAAATGAGGATTAATATATTATTCATTTAAATTTAGTTTTAATTATTGTATTTATTGAGTGGACCGAAATTTTCAGCCTATGTTAACGTGTCAGCTCATAGTGCAGGCTTGAAGTAATTAATCCAAGTTATTCACCAGGTATGATCAAAGCGTCCTCACCAGGAGTCGATATGTTAAGATGGGCAGAACATTTCAGTCGAATCAATCAGCGTGAAACTCACAACTGAATCAAAACAGGCAGTAAGTGACATCCGCTACACAAGAGGTGAATCTTGTGGATATCACTTCAGCATGTGAAGCAATGACTATTGGCAGATGTTAGAATTCATGGGCTGGCCATAGGTTCGGGCCCCAGTGAGTGGCTAAATGGTCTATGAGCTCGGTAGCCTTATAACTAGAATGTCCTGCTTTCAAACTCCTGTGATGGTTGAGTGTTACTGAAGAGTCCTAAACTAGGACAAAACAGCTGTCCAGTATTCGCAAGTTTTCCAGTGGTTGATTCTCTAACTGATGTCAGCTCATAATTAAATCCTCTAACCAATAGCTACTGCGTAATGGTATTCATGAGAGCACCATCATCACTAAATACTGGGTAATGCATATACCTTTAGCTGATGACGAACCCGAGGGGTAGGATGAAATGCGTACCCTATTGGATTCCACGGCTAATGTGCATTCATCAGATCCCTTTGAGGATTAACCTACTTCATTGCAGTGATTTATTTTTTCTAATTCAAGTGACGTAAAAACATAGGGAACAAAATCACTTTTCAACTTTATATATTTTTAATGGTATATATTAAGTAGAAAACTGTTTACGCGATGAAGGGACAAAAAGTAACGTCTTGAATAGTTAAAATCAATTCCTTTTTTTCCTGTCAATCAACACAGAAACAAAACCGGAACAACAATGCGTAAGAAAAGAAATCTAGTAAATCATAATAAATATAGGACAAGATTGCAAAACCACGCCATCTCATTTCATTTCATTCCCTTATTATGAATACTACAAAACGTAAATTGGTAGACGTTAAGTTACATAGGGTAAGAGGAAATGTAATCAGATTCTTGCCTTATAAATCAATCAATGTAAGGCTGTTTATTTTCTGTCTTTAATGTCGTTTGTTATAAAGCCAAGAGAATAATCACAGAGGAAAATTAGATACTCAAGTTTATAGAAAATCAACTCACACAGATCAAATACGCAATTACAAAAACATTTGCAATCCAATAACACTCAGAAATAGTTGCATACAACCATTTTACACGAAAGACAGAAGGTATAGCAAAACTTCTACTGTGAAGACGTCTTCCAAAAGAATTGGATATCCACGGAACTTCATTAGAAGACATAAACTGCCAAGCCAACCAACTAAACCGAAGACCTCTTTCCTTAAGAAAAGCATTAAGTAAACCACCCTAACATATGCAAAATACTTCTCAGAAATCACTGCAAGACTCTTTAAAACCTTGAGGAATTCACGTCGCACACACACGCCAACAAAATCAATTCACTCAGCCCTGTATCAACCAACAGAATCAATAGTGAATGGTGATAAAATCAACATCATCTAAAAAAAAATAAGTTGCGACGACTGAGAAAAACACTACATTGGCGAAAGTGGACGTCCCTCCTCTTCATTGTCATATCCATAAACATTAACTATCCATCAAAAGACATGATATTCACTCCCTCATATCACTCGCGCTGGATACAGACAATCACGGACATTAATTTGACTCGGACAAAGACAGAGTAAAAAAATACCAAGAATGCCAGAGAATCTTTAAAAGCCTCGTATTCCATAGACATAGACAACATTCACCCATCGATAAGGAGAATCTCATGTACAAAAAAGCTAAACTTCAGGCCAAGAGAGCAATCACTACCAATACAAGTAGCCTAGAGTGTGTGATAAGACACAAAGACATACAAGGACGTCCAAGGCCACACTCGTGGAGAAATCTAAAAGCTCACTTCAAATTGAAATGTATGCTCTGAAGATGTTGCCGAGTAGGACAATGAACGAATCGCCGCAAATAAATCATCCAGCTAGCTTAGAGAACACAACTACATTAGAAATAGTCTGGACGTTAGAAACTTTCATTTACGTTTCACTTTTAGAGTACAGTGTTAAAAGTCAACTGATAAATGAAAGAATAAATGAGAACAAAACTAGTGATAAAGACAACCTCAATATTCCCATGTACAACTTTCGTTGTGATTAACTTTTAATTGTGTAGTGAATTCATTTGTTTCAAGTTTTGTTACTGAAAACCAACAGAGAGTACTTGACAGCTGTCTCGTTCTAGTCTGGAACTCATCAGCAGTACACACTCATTGAATTTGAAATTCACAACCTTGCGGTTGCAAGCTAAGCTTCTTAAAACGTTCAGACAGTGAAACTCATCTGAATAGCATAATTAATTCTAAATTTCATCACCGGGTCCAGTATTCCCTGGTTGTCAAGGGTTATCTAAATGGTATCAATTCGTGATCAGGCTTAAAATTTACT